TAAAACAAAAAAGAAAGAGAGAGAGAGAGAAAACTCAGTAAGATTTTTAAAAATTAAGTGTAAGTATGTAGAATTTGTGAGCTCAAGGTTGGTTTTATATAAGTTTTAAAGGCTTTATATATAAAACTTTATTTGTATTTAGCAGAGGTTGATTCTCTCCCTGTCAGACTTGCTTGTTGGTTGTTCTCTAGCCAGAGACACCAGTTGACAAGTTTGATTCATGGTTCAGAACATTTTTCTGAAATAAACAAGGGGAATTTGTTTTACTTATGTGCTTGTTTTTCTCTAAAAAGAGCTTTCTTGACAGAATTCGGATTCTGGCACACTTCTCATGTATCCCAGGCTTTGCCAACCCTCAAATGATAGCAAGACCCTGGGGTCTGCTTACTCACAACACACACCAGAATGCCACAGCCTGATCTGCCTTCTGCTTCTGAAGTATCACCTAGGACCCACATCACTTCAAACATACCCCTGCAACATGGATTCTCTTCTCAAATCCCCGGCTAACTGGAGAGGAGACAGAAGCCCCTGCACAGCATTCTATATCCAAGTTACACTTGAAAAGCATTCAATATGAGTTGTTCCTAAAATATGGTTTGAGAGATGCCTGGAAACTCAAGGCCTCCCTAGTGAAATTCTGTCAGTGTGAGTCTGCCTGGAGAGTTGGTTCAGCACTTGTCAGGGTGAGTCCTCATGTGAACCTGTCAAAACCCGCCATCATAAGTAGACTAAATCCTAGCCTCAGACTTAAATCTACAAATAACCTGGAAAGGGCCTACCTGAGACTTTACCTATGGGGCCCCTCCCTTGGATCAAAGCCCTTCTCTGAAGAGCTGGGGCCCTTATACAGACATACAAGAACAGCCTGTCTGGTGTAGACTCCCTGAGTGCTTCTTCCCAGACTCCTAGACCTTACACATGGTCTTAAACTTACTAAATGTTATCTACACTCAATCAAAATGCTCCTGGATGAATGGTCATCCCACTTTGGACATGATGCTGAGCCCAGGAATTGTTGGCCCAATGTAGGTTATCTGTGATGGAGGCAAAGGGGAAGTGGCCCAGGGCCTCCACATGACATTAAACTGCACAGTCCTCTGGGTCCATAGACAGCCTTTGGGTTTGGTGGGGCAGGATCATCCTGTAAACTAACTGTGGTAGTCAGGAGACCAGCTCATGTCTCTCCAAAGGTCCTCACCTGTGGCTGTGAGCTTAGAGAGAGCCAGATCCCTGATACAAGCCTGTTGCTGCAACCAGTGCTGATGCTCAGCACAGGGCCATAAAGTTTGAAGTCACCAACAGGGAATAAGAAGCTTCAGAGCAACAAATGCTTCTTGAAAGCCCCTGTGTTGCAGGCCTGAGAACAGGAAACAGTGATGCAAGCAGCAGCAGAGATCAAGGAGCCCATCCTTTAGTCCCTCTTATTTCCTAAATGTTTCCCCTAAGAATCAAAACCCCCTCACCTGGCATAGTAGTGCACACAAATAATCCCAGTACTCTGGGAGAATGAGACAAGAGAATACCATGTTTGAGCCCAGCAATAGTGAGGCCCTGTCCCATAGTTTAGAAAGAACCAAAAGACCAGCACTTCATAATTTCCAGAGTGCCGCAACTACACTCTCACTACTACATACACTCCTGTCAATACCCAGGCCAACGCCAGCCTGATGATAGAATTCAGCAACAGAAAGCTTATGGGATGCAGTCCCCACATTTCTGATGGATCATGGAGCTGGGCGCAGGAGGAGTGCAAAATTAAATTGCTCCTTCATCTGATAATATAAGGTGAGTGTTTAATTGAAATTCTGATGATTATCCACTCTTCCTTTAGCATTTAATCAAGCAGTATTTCCAAAGAGCATCATTATACACAATCATTTCCACTAGTTACTCATCCCCAATGTCCCTGCATATGGCCCTGCTGACAACTCTTTGCTCACAGGAGCAGCCAGCACAGAAAAACCAATAATGTATGAGCCCCAGGCCCTCATCATAGCAGAAACTTACTGTTTTTAAAGCTATTCATGTCCTCCCTCATGATCCCAAAACTAAACAAAGATCTAGGAGTTTTAGATTCTGAAGTCTTTCTTATCTGTGGGGCATCTGTACCTTGTCACTGAGTGAAGCACAGGCACTCGTGCAGATACATGTTTTGTGTGCACACAGGCACAGCATGCATGTACACACAAACACCTGACATTACTCATCTCCTGTGAGCTCTTTGTCCTTTGAGTGCAGCTCCAAAGCCATTGAGCACCCAAGAAGGCAAGATCCAGAGCACTATTAGGAATCCTTACCTGAAGAGGGCACTGCTGGGGCTACCTCCCACTCATCCACTCCAAATTAGCTAACTATTTTTCGGAACACAGCCGTCCCCTCCACCATTCATTCAACACTGACTGAGCTCTTCCACCTGTACTCTTGTCTTTCTATTCATGCATTCACCCCTAACCACTTCTGGTACACAATTGTCCTTCCCTTCATTCATTCACACGCTTTCCTGTGTGCACTTGTTCTTCACTTCATTCACTCAGCATTGATGAGCACTTGTTGTATATATGTGTCCCTTTCAACCCCTCAATCAACATTGACTAAGCAATTTCCTGATTCATCCATTTATTATTGTGTAGAACTCCCTTCTCCTTCCAGCAGTTCATTGACTTTCTGAGTAAGCGCTTCTCTGTACACTCTCACCTTCCATTCGTTTGCTCTCGGTGAGTGCTTTCTGCTAATGCACCTCCCTTCCACTCATTCACTCATCAGAGACTGAATCCTTCACTTTACTCTCTTGTCCTACTCATCCAGTCATCATTGAGTAACACTTCCTTCATGTGTTCACTCCTTGAGTTGGCCTTGGAGAAACAAATAATGAATCCATGATCCCCACACTTAGAATCTCGCAGAATAGAGGATAAAAAATAAAAAATAAAGCCTTGAAAACTAAGCACTACCTCCTATGCATACTAGACTCTAAGACACAGTAGGTATAAGAGAAATGTAATGATGGTTTCTGTGGTTAGAAGGAAAGACATTTACCTCCAGGGGAAACAAACCTGAGACACAAAGAGCCATCTTCACTGACCACCCCCTGTCACATGGATCTTCAGATAATATGGATCACTTGTGAAGGGATTAAGTCATTCACATTTTTCAAGAAAACCATGCACGTGGGGGACTCAGTCTTCACCTTCAGGCTCTTACAATGGCCTGTGCCCATAGCCTGCTCTTATGGGGATCTTGATTTTGAAAGGCTATGTTTGAATGGACCCAAGCATCATACTGTGGGAGACTGGAGATTGGAGAAGCTGGATAACATGCATGAGCAACTCATGACACCTGTCCCAGGAAGTTAATATGTCCCAGTTTACCTCACCAGGTGTGAGAAACTGATGCCACACCCCCTTCCTGTGAACCCATTGCAATTGACTCCAGGTGAGCGTCTCTGGCTCCTTAAGTGCAGTGATGGCAGAAACAGATCAGATATTCTCATCTGCAGACCGAGTTCATGGTACTGTTTGGTACTTAGTGGTACTTAGTGTATCGGCCACATAAACTTTTCATAAAACATGCTCCCTTCCCTGGAAGGTGCTCAGAGTTGTGCCTCTGACTGAGGTGCACCGAGCAAGGCCATCATCCCCACTTCAGGAGCACTATGCTGCCTGAAACTTGCATGGTCCACTACGGACAGGCTCAAAAGTCTGCCATGTCCCATGTGCTTATTGTTGCCATGCAGGTGCCTTGGAAACTAGAGGTCATCTGTCTAGGAACTCAACTAATAATCTCCCTAAATTTAAATTCGCAACAGCTTATAGCAAATTGCTATGGTTGGATCTCCGTGAAATGCTGTTGGGTAAGAGAAGCCCATTTTACAATAGCATGGAGTTGTTTGAACCCATTTATAGGACCTTGAGTGTCTGTGCGCATGTGTGTTTGTGAACAGAGGAGAATTGGGAAGGAAACTTGAGGACAGCCGTCTTGGTGATGTGATCAGATGAGTGAGTAGTGAGGAGGCTGTTCTGTGATTGTGAAACAGATTTTTGGACAGAACAGTCAGAGTCCAAATCTGGGGCTACCTAACTGACTGTCTTTGAAAGGCTCATCCTGTGACCCTCAATATTTTCAATTGTGAAACAGGAATGTGTTATAATACCATCTGTATGTGTTTATGTTGCAATTAAATGCTATAAAATCCAGCATAGACTACTCAATGAATGTTAGTATTGAACATTTTTCTGTATTATTAAAGAAATATTTGCTTGCATCCAGAAGAGTTGTTAGTCAGTCCCATTCAAGCGTAGGGACTTTTTCCATTTCTCTCAAAGGCAGTGGGACTCACCTAATACAACATGTTTTCTTTTGTTATTACTGCATGTTAAAATAGTAAATAATGATTACATTTTTCATGGAGAATTGGTACATATACATAACACACCTTAATTCTTCTTACATTCCTTCCCTTCCCCTCTCTCCCTTGCCCCTCCACCTCTGGTCCTCTTCCCTTGTATAGTACAGCATTTCTGACCCTAGGTGGAAGGTAAAGGCCACCCGCTGCCAGTGCTCAAGATCACACAAATCATTAGTATTGTTCTATTGAGTGCAAAGAGCAAGGGGCCAGTTGTCTCCCACCAGCATTCCTATTTCGCTCTTCGGCCTCCATTTCAACTGTAACACTGCTCAGACCTGCCTCCTTTCGGCACCCAGGTAGAAAGTGGCTTTAAAAGATATCTAGACTCTTGCAAGCAAGTAAGGTGACTCTGAACACGAATGCTAGAACTGGGCCCATAAAAGGCCAAATGCTGGATGGTGATGTGTTTCCAGTCCTTCGCTTGGGTGGGGAGGGGGTGGTCCTCTGGGCCTCATCTTGTGGCTTCTGTGCAACCTTTTATCTTCTCACCAAATTCAGCTGCTTCCAGAGGTATATGGAAAGATTTCCACAACCACACAGTGTCACCTGGGCCTCCAGGCATCATGAAAACGGAGTAGTTTTCCAGACTTACGAGCTTTCCTGGGCTTTCTTGTCAGGACCAGTCTGATCACCAGCCCTCTCCTTAGGAGCCTCGCAAATCCCCAGACAAATAGAATACCACCTGTAAAAATTAAAAATTGCCCTACTGATCATTTGGTATAAATTGTTTACCCCCATAGTGAGCTATGGGATTACACTGCTGCTTGTAAAAATTGCCCGCTTTAGTAGTGCCTGAAACTCAAGCACTGTTCATGCACTGACAATATTTTATTTAAATTGGTTTTTATAAAAATAGATACACTCACTTCATTTAAAATGTAAAACAGCAACCAGTTTGCTCAACAATTCATACTCCTGTCTTCCCCACGCAGTCTCTTTAGAAGCATTTGTTACAACCAACAATCCATGAATCTTTCCCAAAGTTTCATCATAAATAAACAGTACAAAATCTAAGAGAAGAAAATGAAAGTTGTCTAGAGTTTCACATCCAGAAGATAAGCAACACTGGGATAGTGTGATCAAACAAGCATTTGCCCATGAATTAAATTTTCCAAGCAATTGAGTATCCATCCCAAAGCTGTATATGAATCATATTACCAGACCAGGCCCATTTTTCCCTGTGCACAGTGTGCCAGTCTATGAAATGGTGACCTTTGCAGAGAAGAGTTTATTCACAAGGCCCCCAAATGTGTGAAGAAGGGAGAGCAAGTCTCAAATCTGCCTCTGTGAGGATCATGTTTGGAGTGTACGTGGCTGATGTCTGGGGGGCCCAGAGGACAGGAGGCAATGGAAGTTCTCTGCATGCTAATTAGACCAAGCCAGCTGTTACCATCCAATCAATATGTCAAAGGTGCAATCTGTAGTCATTATAAATTGGTGGTTTTTAAAGTCAACTGAAAGCAAGTAAAAATAAGAGCAGATGCCATGGATTAAGTCTAAGAGCAGATTTTTCTCAGTTTCAACAGCACTTCAACTACGGAGAAGTTATCCCTCACTTTCAACTCTGGTTTTCATTAGCAAATCTGCAGTAATGAAAGAAGCCAACAGGTAAGCAATGGACTGTAGAGATATGAACCTTCCCAATTTATCTTAGCATACATTATCTATGCTATGAAAGCATGTTTTAAATTTTCTTGTTTACTTTGATATGCCATATTCTATGTTATCCCTTCAGTAATATGTTCCCATTATATAACCATCTCTGATGTTAGTAGAAACCTTCATGTTTCTATTTTTTCTTCTTTTTTCCCCGCCTGGGGCTGGTTTCAAAGTCCACAAGAAACCCCAAGGGAACAGCATTTAGCTTCAGGTGGCTAACAGTGAGAGAATTTCTGAGCTCTGCTCCAGAGAATACTAATGAGCATGTATGCAATAGAACAATATATAGCAATGAAAATGAACCAACTACATCCACAAGCTACAGGTAGGTGAATCTCAGGTGTGTCACCAGGCACACACAGTATTTCTCCACTTACCATGTCACACAGGAGTGCAAAGCTCATGTAAAAAGTATTTTAATAAGCAAAGGAAGGAACACCAAGGAGAGGGCAGTGGCTTCCTCCTGGGGGATCGAAATCACTGACAGGGACAACTATTTATTTGAGACTTTAATACTGAACCTTAATTTCTTCAAAGTTTGTTGATCAATAAAATTCAACAGTGAATCATCACCATATTGCATTATCAAGTCAACTTCTCTTAAGCCAAGTAATGTTAGAGAATTTAACAGAATTAACTAAGGAAAAAGGAACCCTTCTGGATGGATTTCTGAACTTTCCCCCAAATTTCAGGTCAAACTTGGTCAGATCCTTACATTCCAGTGGAGCAGGAAGAATGGACACACCCATGCCAAATGGCCACACCCACGCCCTGGAGCAGAGGTGGCCTCATCTTTCCTCACCGCTGCAGCCTCCTGCAGTGATTTCCAAACACTTCTGGCCCTGCTGGGAGGCTTGCATTTCCTCAGAAAACCAACACTGGTATGTCAAGAGATAATAACCACTTAAAAACAGAAGGGAAAGACGCAGATTTTGACCAAATTTTCTGAGCAATGCCGTGACCCCACAACCATCTCTGCATCCTGTGATCAACACACACGACTAACATAGTTACTTTCTTCTAGGAGGACAGAGTCAGCAAAGGTTCCTTGCTGGGCTGTGATTCTGCCAGAATTTAGATAGGCTGATCATTTATTGCTCTTTCTTTTGGACCTACACAGGAGGAGGGCTAGCATTGAACTGTGAATGGCAGTACAGCACACTCAGTTGGTCAGTCCCACCCTCTGGGCAGTCACTCTCTCACCAAGGGATGTAGTCTTCATTTTGTAGCTGAATCTAGGTGAGAGAAAGCCCTGCCTGGAGGCTCCTGAAGCCTGCTGTGATCACTGGCAGGCCTTCTGCCAGAAAGAGGACAAGACTTCTGGTCTCCCCACATGGAGGTGGGGCAGACAGCCTCCTCCAGAACTCTGTTCCTGAGCAGTTTCCCTCTGAACCTGAAGTCCCTCCCCTCTGCCAGGCACTCCCTTACCCAGGAATTAGCAAATTCATCTTTTGCTTGGGTCATTGTAAGGGGTGCAGGGGAGGTTATACCATAACTAACTCAACTGTTTTTGAGACACTTCAACAAATTTCAGTACTTAGTTTCAACAAGGAGCTATGCCTTCCCTTTTTCATTATAGTTCAGGAACTCTGAGGTTTTAAAGCCATGACAGCACCCAGTGCCAACACTATCTCAGCACAGGGTGGGAATCTTTGTAGGACCTTGGAGAGGCATGATTTCCTCCTGGAGACAGGCTGAGTGAAAAGTATACATGAGGTGGAAGTGACTGACAACCAGCCAAGGGTTTCTTGAGAGGCCAGGACAACTACAAGCAGAACTATCAGGTAAACCACTGGGTGGATCTGCATCACCCCGAAGTACCTGGTATACGATACAGATTACCAGATTCTACACAGTTGTGGAGCTGTTGATATCAGGGAAGAAAACTCCCAACCTACTAGAGATTGAGTGTGAGTTCATGTCCTCTAAAATCGAAGAATGAATTTTAGGAACAATAGAGGTTAAAAGTAGAATATATTTATTGAAAGAAAGAAAATTTCTGTCTGAGAGAGAGACAAAAGAGGTCCTGAGTAGGTTGCCAAAGACTCTTTTTTAGGGACTTTTATAGAGCAAAACCACAAAGTGTGGCAGGTCCAAAATGGGAACTCACAAGATGGGCATGAGGTGGGTTAGAACTATTATCAACCAGTAAGATTATAAGTGTAATTGTTCAGGTGAAATTGATTAAATTAGGGACAAATTAGGAAGGAAGTCACCTAGCAAGCGGGCATAAACACAGAGCAAGGGCTGTGTCTGTAGAATATGAGTGCATTAGTTTGGTCTTTGGTCTTGAGGTCTGCCCCACAGCAGGAGATGTCTGTCTCCCCAACATTTCCAAGGTATCTGCTCTTTTTCACTGGTTTCTTTGAGGGCCCAGACCTGTCCTACTGCTTATAATATTTCAGTCTAACTCAGCTGGCTGTAAACCATGAAGGGAACAAAATTGTCCTCAGGTGAAAGTATCTACCAAGGAAATTACATCTGCCCCCCACCTCCATGAAAGTGGCATTTAGGGTATGTGAGGTATTGTTGTGTCAGGCTCTACAGCCCAATTTGGGTTTCTTATAGTGTTATCCCTTGGCCCTGTCAGCCAGTCTAGCAGGGTATGATAGCTCTGTGAGCAGAGGCCTGGTGTCAGGTTGAAGTTTCTGCAGATGCCTCTGATCCTCCTAGGACCAGGGTCTTCTCAAGGTCAGGGACAGAAAGTGAGTCATGTGAACTTCTGATGACATCACCTTGCCCATGCTCCATTGGTCAAAATAAGTCATGTGACTAAAGTCTTTAGGTCAAGGTATAAGGCTGGGGAAAAGGGAAGGTTTTTACTGATTCTCTAACTTACCACTTAGTGGTAAGTTGACTGCTGACAGTTGAACATTTGCACACAGTGCAAACTGATGCCCAGAGAGTGGAAGTAACATAAGAGGGCCACTGCACACTTATACAGACATAGGAACATGCAGATTTTCTTCAGCTGGCAACTGGAGAGGAAAACCATGCAGATCATGATGTAACCAGAGATACACAAACAATCCCCTGAATGTCTAAGAGAGGATTTTAGGAAACTGATATGTACACTCGTAGAAATTTCCTTCTTTATGATCCTGTTTCCATGGGAAAGGAAACCTGAGCATAAATACTATACAGAAAAGTTATTACAAAAAAATCCACAGTCATTTGAGCCCATCCTAATTTCTTATTATTTGCAATAAAAACAGGTTTGCTTTATAATTGAGAAAGTAAATTTATTTATATATCTTTTAACTTTAATTTTTCAAGACAATGTACCACATCAAACTGTCACTATTTTGAATTTTGGTTCTCACTTTAGGAATATTCACTGTAAGTGAATAATGAAGACCTTTTGAGTGAAAATACAGAATTCAGGCTATGGGTCAAGGAGATGTTGGTTTAGATTCCCACCAGAGCTGTGTGGCTTGTGGTGTCTCATTTGACTCTCTGGCTCTTAAAACAGAAGGTCTTCATCTACTTGTCATTGAAGGAATAAAATAAGAAACTGTACTCAAAATGATCATTATCAAATTGTTGTACTTCTGCATTTAAATTTTATTTATCGTTTTTATTCTTTTATGTACTACTTCAGGATAGTTAATTATAGTAAAGCTCCCATAACCAAATAGGCAAATGTACCAGACTACAGATGCTTCATGTTTCAGGTGATTTTACCTCTTCTGCAATTTATCACACATCGCAAAGGAAGAGGACACAGGACATGTCTCTTAGGTAAAAGTCCCTACAGGGTTGTAAGTAAGTGAGTTCCAGCTCTCCAGGGCAGACATGAGCCCAGGGACCATTAGGAATCACAGAGTGCTGGGAAAGATACCTGCACACATGCCCAGCACTTGAGCAGCTGTAAGCCACAGATGCCTCTGTAGAAAAGCAAGAGGGAGGCAAAATATAAAAAGAGGTAAGTTGGCATTGCGAGGACTTGAGGAGTTAGTCTAATTTTCAAGTATTTGAAATCAATTAGTCTAAGCATGAAAGTTAAGTATGTGAGCAGATGAAGTGGACACTTCTCAGGGAGGGAAAGCGTAAGTTCACATGTGGGTGTGTGTTTGTATGTGTGCCCAGCCTGAGCACACAAAAACCACAGGGAGGCAGGACAGCACGGTGTGCGTCTCCATGTGTGCTGCACACATGATGTGTGGCCAGTCTCGACATGTGTACCTGACATAGGAGTGGGGCATGCCCAAGTCCAGGACAGCACACCCTTACCTTGGCCTCACATTCCAGCCACTGCCCTGCAGCCTGGCTGCAAAGGGCTCAGCACCCGTGAAGGATGAATCCTCCTTCTGCTTCTGAGCACTAACACTTTCAGAATGCAGAGTGATGTAGCAGTTGGGCTGAGATTTATACAGGCAGATATTTTGACATATTATGTATAGTTATACATAATTAGATACAATGTTATTATATAAAATAATATAAAGTATGTATGAAATTATATATATATATATATACATTATTGCTGTTTTCACTAATTCATTTGTCCATTAACAGAAAGGAAAATGACAGACGCCTGTATGCTTCAAATGGACTAGATTCCAAAACTAATTCTAATGAAGAGTCAAAGGAAAATTGAGCCTTCCCCAATTATTACTGACTGGGAGGCTAACTGTGGACCAAGACCCTGTATTTACAAAGAGAGAAGTCAGATGCTTAAGCTAACTGAAGATTAACTCCTCACATATACCAAAGTGCTGCTCATGGATTTGGGCCATTCAGGAAAGAAATACTTATGTTCTTTTCTTTTTTTCTGGGTTCAGTGGAGGTCTTTTTAGTACAGAAAGATTAAAGCAAGTGGGCGGAGTTAGTTCTAAAATAGATACTAACTAAATGAGCTTGACAGTGTACCCTGGTTCCTGAGTGTGCATGACTGCATTTGTGTGTGTTTGTGTGTGTACGCAGACTGACCATGAAAAGGACCCCCATCTTCCTCACATATTGCAAGAACCCCATTATCCCCATTTTTGGAGTTCAGCTTGATAGGGCATGATAAAATAAATAGATCCATCTTCTGGGAAACTACCAGTACACTTCTGGGGAAGAACGTTATCCAATGTGTTCCTCTCCTCTTACACTACAGCCAGTGCTGACACTGACAGCAAGTTTGGCTAAGTCCAGACAATCCTGAAACTTTTTTTTTTTTTTTTTTGAGACAATGTTTCACTATATGGGTCAGACTGGCCTTGAACTCACTTTATAGCCCAGGCTGGCCTCAAACTCACAGTGACCCTCCCAATCAGCCTCCCAAGGGTTGGGATTACAGGCATGCACCACCACACGTGACCTGCTGAAACATATTCTTTACAGGGCAGCCCTAAAGGGACAAGGACATAGCAAATCCAGCATGACTACAGCTCAGCACTCACCCCAGTATGCTGCAGCCAGCTCACACCAGCTGGCGGAATCAATTGTTGACTTTGGGCTGATTTTTCAAACTAGTTGTTGATCACAGCCATGATGAAATGATGTAGAATTAAACACTACTCCAATCCGTCCAACTGTACAGAAGCTTAAAAGATGGCACTATTGCAGGAGCAGTGCTGAAATAGGAGAGGTTTTGTTTCAGTCTCTGTAATAAGGCAGGGTGGAAATCATTTAGGAGCTGATCACATCCAACTTAACAGATTTGGGGAGAAGATCAGCTGGCTGGAGTCATGGTTGAGTGGCTCTTAGAAGCATTTTGTAGACACAAAATTCTGGCATGAGTCCTTAAAAGAGTCCTATAGAGACACACTGACCACATTGATTGTACAGTGAAGAGTACTATATGTAGCTTTTATCTGTGGTGTGCTTCACACCTTTTTAGCTGAAATATTAATGCACAAAGAAACAAAAATGTGGTGTGATCAAGAATGGAGTGTTTAAATATTTTAAAAATTTATTACAGGAAAAGATACATTGCCATTAATCACCTTTGTTGTCAGGGAATAGATTTAATACAGGGCAAATAATTTATAAGATTACTTTATAATATTGACCCAAAAAGTGAAATGCAGAAGAATGTAAGAGATCTGTCCATGCCCTAGAAACCTAAAGAACCCAATTACGGCCCTGAATCTCACAATAATGTCCTGCACAAAACCAGCTGAAGACTTAGAGCCCATGACATTATCTCATGCAAGTCTGCATCAAGGATCTGCACTCCAAAGTCCAGTCCATGCCACCAGGCTGAGAGATCTGCACTACAGCCAAGAAGCAATACTCAAGGTAAGGACCAGAGCTCCCCCAAAGAGAACCTGAGCTCCTCTGATGATAAGAATAGCTGAATTCATGTCAGGAAAACCGGTGTGACAAGCTTCTCCAGGAAAATCAACAGCACATCACCCTCCCCTCTTCTCCTTTTATGCTCTTGGCAACAGTCCTCAGATGGGCCTTCCTCACCCTGAACCACACTGATTCAGTTCTGCTGGGTGTGTTAAGTTGCTCATTAGTTAATCCACCACAATCTTCAAAATACTCCTCCTTACCTCAAACATATTTATCCCATCGTTGTCGCCACTTTCTGAAGCAGTTCTGGAAGTCCTTTTTCGTGTCTTTAGTTGTGTTGTCATGGCTGCCTCCATGTCCTGAATCAATTCAAAATGTTTCCCTTCTGGGGTTGTTTGGACTTTGGAGAAGAGCCAGACGCCCCACAGTGCCAGATCCAGTGAACACTGTTCATGAGAACACACCCTCCTGTTTTTACAAGCCTGCCTTTCTGTTGGATGGCGCTAGGCAGCAGCATTCACTGTGGTTTCTTCTGTTTGTTTTGTTTTGTCTTATCACACATCACAAAGGCAATCATAAAAGGCAACTTCTAGAACTGCTTCAGAAAGTCAAGAATATATTGTAGAGGGATGAGTGTGTTGAAACAGAAAGGAAGATGGGGGTGGGTAATGGCATCGAGTCTTTTACTGTAATAACCTAAATATTCAAATATTCACCATATATTTCAATCATACCTCTTCTAAATAATTTTCTTTTCTCCTAGTGGGGCAATTGCTAACCATTTACCAGCGCTTCTCCACTGAGCCCTCCTCTTTCCTCCTCCTCCTCCCTACAGTCTTTCTGATCTAAAAATAAATTTCCTAGTATCAAGACAGGGAGTAATCTGAGCCCAGTTTCGAGGATCCTGGGTGAAGGAGCTATTGTCTGGTCCTGGAAATCTTCCAGACTCCAAAGCAGACCTGTTCCACTTTCTGTGACAGGCCAAGACTGGGAGGGTCACCAGCTGCACGGTGACAATATGGAAATCTCAGAAAAGAGCATCATTCTGTAGTAGGAAACCTTGGACCTTGTTTCCACAGCTAGAATCAGTGTGTTTCTTTAACTCAGATTCCACCATCAGCAGTGGCAGCTGGTGTGATCTCAGGTGTGGTCCTGCAGGACACCCCACTCACACCAATACCAGCCCACCCAATGCTGATGTCTCTGGGGTCTGCTGGGCAGGTTTGGGAGCTGTCTAGAAGCCAGTCTTATTTCTAGGTTTTCACCAAAAGTTATATTATCTAGCATTAAGTTTCATCATATTTACTAAAAAAAGTTCCAGGCAATTTTGCCTATTTGTAGAAGAAAAATCCCATTTCAGAGTTTAAAGCTGATACTGTGGAGAATGGTGGTGTGAGATAAGAAGGGTAATTTTTTATATTTAAGACATGTCATCCAAGACACTCATCCAAAATAAACAAATTTTGGAGGGAATCCCAAAACAGCTTCCTGACAATTGAAAGCCAAGCCTGAGTCACAAGGCCAGGCACAGACTCTCCCAGAGGGACTAACTCTTTGGGGCAGCCCTGTATGGACCACACTGGTGCTGCCATGTGGCCCTAAGTGGTCTCATCATTCCCAAGGCCGCTTCTCAGTTGTGAGCCAGAGGAGAGCCTAAGGCTTTTCTCCAAATGCAGGTCATTGTCCCCTGCCCTCTGCAGGTCTCCAGAGATGCGACCAGCAGTCCATGTCAGGCTGTTTTTCTCTGGAGTTCCATAGTCACAGCTTTTTCTGATGCTGTTTTCCTGACTCCAGGTCCACCGTGGCTTAGAGAGAAGGGCTGACTCTGTAACCCCTGGGTGGCCTGGCTTGGTGCTTCTGGCCTATGTGTGTTCTAGTGGTACCATGGGCACACTGAGGAAAGGCCCCCTCTACAAACTTCTGGAAAACAGATATCAAGAATATCAGTCTTACCTTATATTTGACAAAGGGGCTAAACATGTTCACTGGAAAAAAGACAGCCTTTTTAATAAGTGGTGTTGGAAAAATTGGCTTTCCACATGCCGAAGACTGAAAATAGACCCATGCCTATCACCATACACTAAACTAAAGTCAAAATGGATCCAGGATCTAAATATTAAAACAGAAACACTAAATATACTGGAAGGCAAGGTAGGTAAAAATCTTGGGGACATAGGGGTAGGCAAACAATTCATGAATAAAATGCAAACCACATGGGAAATACTTCAAAGAATCAACAACTAGGATTTCATATTACTAAAAAGTTTTTGCACATCAAAAGAAATCACTAACAAAGTGAAAAGAAAACCTACAGAATGGGAAAGAATTTTAGCCAACAATCCCTCAGACAAAGGACTTATATCCAGAACATATAAAGAATTAAAAAACATCAAGCCCCCCAAATTCAAAGACCCTCTCCAAAAATGTGCATCGGAGATGAACGCACAGTTCTCAGATGAAGATATACAAATGGCAAATATATTTATGAAGAAATGTTCACCATCACTGGTCATTTGAGGAATGCAAATTAAAACAGCATTGAGATTTCATCTCACCCCAAAAAGAATGGCTGCCATCAAGAAATCAACTGATAACAAATGTTGGTGAGAGTGCGGGGGAAAAGGAACACTCTTCACTGTTAGTGGGAGTGCAGACTGGTGCAAGCACTGTGGAAATCAGTATGGAGATTCCTCAAAAAATCCATGTTCATAGCAGCACAATTTGTGATAGCTAAATCTTGGAAACAACCAAAATGCCCATCAACCGCAGAGTGGATGAAAAAGATGTGGTATTTTTATATAGTGGAATACTACTCAGCTATAAAAAACATGATCTTGAGGCCTTTATAGGTAAATGGAGGCAACTTGAGAATATCCTCATTAGTGAAATATATAAGACTCACATTAGTAAATATCACATTGTCTCCCTAGTGTAAAAAATAATAAAAAATCCCAGAATAATGGGATCCAAATAGTGTAATACATATGAAAGTATAATAGATGTAAAAGGATAATAGATATAATAGATACTGTGAAAGGGAAGGAAAGTGCTCTAAAGGATATAATGTATGTATAGTGTGTAAGGTCGATGTTCTTATCACTAAATTTCTGTTAAATCATTGAACAGGAGGGTTTGCGCTGCCAACGTTTGAGCGTCTAGCCACTTTTTATGCTTTGATTTTGTAACTTTAACTATTGTTAAGATGACAATATGTAATGTATCAACTAGTGATTTTATGATGCTAATCTTTTTTAATTCTACTATTCTACTATTTTCTCATTTCTTTCGATTTTGTTTTTTTTCTTTAATTTTCTCTTCTTTCTTTCTTTAAATAAACATTTTTTAAAAAGAATACTGAATTGTCTCACCCCCCCCAAAAAAAAGAATATCAGGCTTGTCCATGTGCAAATAGGTAAACAGAGGCAACAAGCACCCCACCCTCACTGCCACCTCAGGCATCTGCTGGGCACATGCATGCTCTCATTCAGTCCCTACACTATTGGCAAGTTGGGTGCACCTGGCCACTCCCTGACAAGCGTCAGACACAGCTAGTGAATCAAGTGCTACCTGTGGAAGGTATCACAGGCTACTCTGCTTGAAGGTCTCTGGAGGTAATTCAGGGTTAGTGCTGCATGGGTCATGACAGCTCTGCCCTTAGCGTGAGTGGACAGCAGCAGACCATACAATGTGTTGGCCCAGAACAAGATCCACTGTAGCAGAGCAGACCAGTGAACTCAGTGATTCTCTTTGGAACTCTGTGTGGAGTAAAGAAAATGTCAGTAGTGAGTGACAAATTGTCCAGGTTCATGAACAGACTTGATGGAAGTTCTGAGCCTCTTCCCCGACCTCACTGTGAACATCTTTTCATGAGTCTTTAGTAAAATCCTTTATAACAAACTCGTGTTTCCCTGAGTTCTGTAAGCCACTCTAGCAAATTAATCAAATCCAAAGAAGTCAGAACTACCCCAACTTAAGGCCAGGAGGTCAGAAGTTCAGGTCACAACCTGAGGCTGCAAGTGGTATCTGACATAGAGAGCACTCTTGCCAGACTATGGGATCTGGCATTGTCTCCAGGTGAATAGTAATTACAGGGGTCATAGGTATAGTAATTAAATCATAGGGATCAGAAGTGTGTTGAGTGAGAGAAAAATATGCTTTGTGCTCTCCAAATCTCATTTATGGATCATTTAGCTCCCCTGATGGAGGTCTATTTGGGTGGACACCAGCTCAGGGTCTGACCCTGCTCGCTGTCATGGAAACAGGATTAGGGAAGACCCTTCAGATTGGCATGATGGCTGAGGGGACAATGTTCCCATGTACTCTCCCAGATCTCTTTTAACACTAGAAATACAAAGTGTCATTTTCATAATATTTTGTTACATTTTTATTTATTTTCAATTGTGGCCAGACATGATCAGTGCAGACTATTGAAAAAATAAACAAAAAATATCCAGACATACATATAATGTTCAAGTGGGATTTGGATATCAGAACATCATCCTTACACATCTCCATGAAGAAGGGAAGAAATTCTAACACATGAAACAACGTGGACAAACTTTGAAGACATTATAGAGTGAAATAAGCCAGCAGAAAAAGGGCAAACACTGTGTGAGTTCACTTATATGAGGCCCCTGGAGTGGTGGAAAGAGGATGGTGGGTCCAAAGGCTGGAGAAGTGTGGAGGAATTCTATGGGCAGTCTCAGTTTGGGAGGATGGGAATGCACCAGAGATGACTGGTGGTGACAGCTGCACATAAAGCCACAGAGCTGCACAGTATGTCACATCATGTGTATTTCACTGCAGTGACCCCATCCCCCTTAAACCAGCTCTGTCCTCTGTCAACCCCCAGGGCTCTGGATCTCAGTCTTGCATGTGAATCACACAGCAGCCCCACCCCCATCCCATTGCAGACACTGCTGCAGGATGGCCTGTCATCCTCTCTCCAGGGCAGTATTCCTGAGACATTTATCAAAGTCTGAATGACAACAAGAGAGGCAGGGCAAGACCTAATGAGGACAATTTACTGTGTACTTCAACAGCAAGGAAAAGGATTCCAAGTGTGGTCAGTAGGAAAAGAAAGGGTAAATATTTGAGGACAGGTACCCTGATATAAACATGATACACAGTGTGCACAGGTACTGAATGTCCCAAGATAGCCCATATGTACTTTAAAAGGGAGACAAAAAAGGTGCAGATAATGTTTGATTCCTTCTCCGCAGTGTCACAGACCCTGTCCATAAACCTCTCATAGGGAGCTCCAAAGGGGCCTGTTTTGCACTCAAGCAGCTGATGAACATTTGGACATCTGCTCGGTCCACATACAGGCCCCTCTTTACTCTATCAAAATAGGCCATTTACTACTTTCTGCTCAGAGAGGCCATTGCTCCCCTCAGAGCAGGGGTCCAATCCTCTGTTTGCACCAGCTGACAGGGGCCTGTGCAGTTCTGCTCTACTTCTTTTGCCCTGGGTGTACCCTACCGAAGGGCACCACACCTCGGATCCAGAACTTAGGTCTGGCAGCCTTGGGCAATGCATTTCCCTCTCTGCATTTCCAGATCAAGCTAGTTTTATTGATTTAGAGCAGGTGACCAGAGAGTGGTGAGATGTAGCCTCCGGCAGGGCAGATGGTGCTAAGCCAGGTTCTTTTGTCTCATGCACCACGCTTCCCAGATTCTGCATTTCTGTGATCACTGTAAAGGCTGCCTCTTCTCTCTTACCATCTCCAAGCAGTCCTGGCTCCCGCAGGTAGAGTAGGCACAATTAGCCAGGAATCCCAAATCTCTCCAGTCTAACAATGTACTCATTCATTCAGCAGTGCTTTTCAAGTGTTGTGGTGCATAGCACAGTGGAAGAGAGTGTGATGGAGATGTAGGCTCTTAGCTCAGGGAAATCAGAGAACAAGGGACAGCAGAGGGCTAAGGCATATACCACTGCAGCTCCAGGACACTGCAAAGGGTGTTCCCCACTCTCTAGTGGATGATGTGGTCACCAGAGGACCATGGACCAGCAGTGTTCACTGAGGATTGACTCAAACGCAATGGAGCCCAACAAGATACAGTCTGTGAAGATACAGTCACATTGGCCTAGCCCCCCAGGCCCTTCACAACAGGACAGAAGGGCCCCAAGCTTAGCAACCAAGAAGGACACTGCTTTCCCAGGGTACCTGTTCCAAAAGCAATATGTTTTCATGAAAGCATGTGCAAGACTGTGTTGGCCTGACAACAATGAAGATAGGTGGAGGGGAGTCAGGAGGCAGAGCGAGTGCCCAATGAGAAGCCAAAAGAAGGCTCAGACTGCAGGCACTCTCAAGTTGCCCACCTGTCTGGTGCTGAGAGCAGCCCATGGGATTGGGGCATGAATGGGGTAGAGCATAAGAGCAGGCAGAAGGTGATACCATCTCCTTCTGGCCACCTAATCCCAACCCTGGGTTAAGCCTCCCAGGGATACAGAAGGGTGGGGGCAAAGAACAGCTAAATTGTGATGAGGCCCAGTGCACACCCTCATGGAGATCCAGAAGTCAAACATGAGCCATGCCAGTGTCCAGGAAGGATACCGAGCCCAAATCCGTTTCCAGGTCTCCACAGCACTGCCCTGACTCTCACAAAGCATCTGCTGGACTCCATTCAGCTTTGGTGGACTCAGCATCTAGAAGTTTCCCGTCACTCCCAATAGAATTTCTGGGTTCGAATTCCTGCAATTTGGGGAAAATTCCTCTCTGCCATAAGGGCAAATTTCCCTGAATTTCTCTGTCCTTAGCAATTTTGTCCTCTGGGTCACCTCAGAAGATACCTGCTCTCTGTTCCTAACACTGGAACTCTATGGGAACAGTTCTAGAAGTCCTGAATACTTCTGTCTTTCCACTTGAAGCTGAACATCAGGACACCCTTCCCTGGCTTCAGGAAGTGGCCAGCATGCTTAGCAGCTTGGCAGCCCTAAGGGGAAAACTGGACTTGGTACTGAAAAACGCAGTCTGAATTTGGTCTGAATTCCTGTCTAGGGAGGTGTTGGCCTGCAGGTTGAGAGTTTGCTGTTGCCTGAGGTCATTCTAAAGCAATAGGGTAATAGGGTCTGTAGCCTTAGTGAACCTGTTCAATCTCATGCACACAATGCAGAGCATCTGTGTAGCATGGCAGATGCTGCCTGATAGCTACAGAAGATGTAAGAATCTCACTGCATCAAGAAGAGCTACGTCTTGCATCAGTGTTCACCAGTTACTTTTTAGTGACTTTTGAAGCCCACATTGTGAGCATTGGCAAGTTATCCAACCCCTCCAAATCTCAGTTTATACAGTAGTCTGTGGGAGAATTGCTTGTGAGTTAAGTGTGTTTATGTATGGAACACATACACACAACTCTTATGTGAGGGCTCGGGACACTGCAAGCGCTCCACAGATTCATTGTGATCGTGGTGACAGACCCTGCCGGGCCTCCCAGATCTTGCTGCCTCACACTACCACAGCTGGTGCATTTTA